TATTTGAACTTGAGCGGTCAGTACAGGGTCTCCCAGATGAGTAGCCTAATGTCAGGGCTGAGTGTTATGAGGGAGCTCTTCTCCCTTGCCTCGGCCATTTTGGGTGAACCTGTCATTAGCGGCCTGATCTGGTAGGTGGGCTCTGAACTTACTGTGTTGAGCCTTGCAGGGGAGTTAGGTGGAGGAACACCTATCTTGCCTCAGCTTGTGAATCACTTTGGGGCTTAGGCAGATGGACATGTGGTGTAGAGGCTGCAGTATTCCTATGCAGAAGTAGGTGCCTAGGAAACTTTTTTACAGCAAAAGTTGAGAGGGCAGGAAGTTGAGGGAGCTGCTAAGCAGAGGTATTGTGAAAGCCCATGAAGCCTGATTTGAGGATTTATGCACTTAAAAGTGGCAGCTAGGTGCTGAAATCCTTTTGTGAAGCTAGCCTTAAATGTGAAGAGCAGGAGTTAGATGTGGGTGTATAGGAGGCTTCACGCTCTCATTTGCAGTGGCTGGATCCTGCTGCTCCCTGCATGCCATCCTCTTTATGCGGCAGTAGAGAAGACTGAGGCATTCCTAAATTAGGTTGGCCTGTAAGAGCCAAAAACACTTAGCCTAGGATTGTGCTCCCTTTCTCTTCCTCCTGTATGCTGGCAGCAAAGGAAGTTGTTAGTGGTTTATAAGCCCCTGTTTAGGCTGTACAAAACTGCAGGATCATCCATGCCCTCCTCCTCCTCCCCCTCCCCCCCGCCCGCATGACTCAGGCAGAGCCCCTTTCTTGGGATTTTATGGCCAAAATACATCAGTGCTGTGGCACAATGAAGAATCGCTCCCTGAATTTCACCTGCTATGTATAAAGATCAAGGGTCTGATTATCTCCCACGTGTGTTAGGCTGGTTTAACTTTACTGACTTCCATACAGTTACACTAGTGTAGATGCGAACAGAAAATCAGGCTGCCTGATCCCAAGCTCAGCTTCATGCGCTCTTCCTTGCTCCACTTTGCCACACATATGTGCACATTATCTTACATGTGCACGCAGTCACTCATGCACGAAGGGGTTTAAGCTGTGCAGAATGTCACTACAGCAACTAAAGACAAGTCTTTTACCAAGCTGTCTCTCTTACAAGAGACGTCTCACCTTCCAGACATAATTTAATTAAAAAAAATCAAGCAAATTTCATAAAAATTTGAAATGTAAATACAATGGTCTTAAAGAAAAAGGGGTTTACAATATAAATTCACAGCAAAAAAATGTGTAAATACAACTTGTTTATATATCAAATATAAAACGCGGGGTGGGGTGGGAGGAGAAATCAGCTGTGGAAAAAATTCTGAAAAGCAGTTCTTACTATGTTGCTATTTACATCTTTTTTTTTAAACAGATATCAGCTTAACTTAAAGCCGTTCAACATGTTTACTCTTTTTGTTTTTTTAGGTTAGAGATAAACCATGATAGGCTAGTACACCAGCGCATAGGAGGGAAAAAGGGAGGTTACACTAACATGGTTATCTACGGGCACAATTTGTTTAGCTGCAGACAAACGAGCTCCTAGTACATGGATCGTTTTTCCCTCCTGTGTTCATCCCCATAAATAAAATTATCAATACATTTATTTCCAAACAAAGAGAGGATGATTTTTGTGCAAACAATGTGAAACAAAAGCCCCTCTACAAACAAGGAATGCTGCTGCTGTTACGCTACTCCTTCTGATACACTGTATCTTATTAATAAGCTAAATTATACACTGTATTATTTATTGTACAACATTCACATACTCTCATATAAATAGGAAAAGCCTAGAGCCAAGAAACACATCCACTGTGAAAATTATCATATGATACATAACTATATAGAGTTATGTATGAGCCACACAACCACACACTTATGTGTGCATGTTGACAAAACAAGTGACATAGCCCCAACCCATTTAAATGCCGAGAACTCCTCTGAATCAGAAATCGTCAATTTTACAATTAAACGTTTCACTCTAAAGGCCAGAATCCACACATCTCTAAGTGGCCACCAGTCCACTGGAGATGTGCCTGCTTACAGCAGTAGTGACTTTGGCCCTCTCTTTTGTGGGCTTTAGCAAAGAAATGCCCTAAAAAAGCGTTTCCTTATGGGCTGAGCTGTGTTAAGAAAAAGATTTTTTTTCAAAAGCTAAAAATAAGCTGTGTATAGATTGTATAACACTTTAAACTGTGAGAGGGCCACGAATATCAGTAACAGAACCAGCTCCCTGTTTCCAGGAGATTAAGGTACATTCCTCAGCTGTCCAGTTCTCTGCCATTGACGCAAAGAGGTCACTGAAGAAACTCTCAGCAATGACACCGGACCTCCCTGGTCAGAACGGCAGGGAGAACAGCCTGCAGTAAAGGTGTGAGGATGAAGGACAGGTGAATCAGGCCCTGGAAAAGCATGAACATTAAAAAGAAATAGACTATAAACTGAATTAAAAACAACAACTCATCTTAGTGTAAGTTATTTCTGCCCTTCCCTTGCAGTTTAACAACAGCTTCTTCCTAGAAGCATGTTTAAATGCTATTGGCGCACCAGTACGTACAGTCTTTGTTGACACAGAATATGCAACAGACTCAGTGAGGAAATCTTTTTGGCACAAAAAATGGATAGAAATGCCCCTCTTGGCTTTGCCCAGCCTGATACATAGGGGCCAGATTCTAACCAGGAGTACCTCCACTTAAGTCAATGGAATTTAACCTGTGTAAGAGCACAATCAGGGCTATAGTTTATATTCCTGTCAAATTCCCGGTAGGATACCAGAAAAGAAAGATGTTGTTCATATTCATATTCACCAGTGTATGTGCATAAGTGTGTTTGCATGTGTTTACACAGTCCATGCATTATAGACATTCTGTCTACGTAATATCACCCTTGTGATCCAAGGAGTTTGGCTTTTACAAAGTAAATTTCTTATAGTTAGGAATGAATGTACAGTGTAACAAAGTAATGTGTGTGTGTGGGGGGGGGGGGAGTGAGGTGTAAAGCATATTCAAATCTCACTTACACCAGTATCATTCCGTTGCCTCAATGAAGTTGCTCTTGATTTACAGCTGCGTAAGTGAAAGCAGAACCAGGACCCCTCTGTCTGTTTATATATATTATACATATGTAATATATACACCCATTGGACCCAATTCATCCTTGGTGCAAGTGCACTAGTTCTATTGAATTTGGCCCATAATATGAATGAATATATATATATCTATATAGAGATATATATATATAAAATACATAACAGTATTACAAATCTTAAGAAATGGTCTTGTTGCAATATATGTTTTTTGTTTATGGGGTAGTACCAATCTCTTATAAGTGGAAATGTTTGTACATTCAATGGGTTGGGCAACTCAAGCATCAATTATTAGTACCTGTACTGTTGTGGAAATATTCCAGCTCTGCAGGGCGATTCTTAACCAAGTTGCATAAATATCACTATTACCCAGTCTTAAAGCCAGTAGGCTGTTTGCGGAGAGGAATGAGCTATTTGGAAGAGGAACTAAAGAAGAGACAAACAGATTGGCAATTTTTACTATCAGCTGTCTTTGTGCTTCAGAGGTCTTTTCATTTTACTGGAATTTAAACAGCTAGTTGAGAGGATCTTGCCAAGAAGGGGACGCTGAATGCGGGGGGAGAAGGGGGCGGAGAGATAGAATAAATGTTTTTGGTTTCATAGGGCTTGATCCGTGCTCTGGACTCAATCCAGAAAAAAAAAAACCTTAAATTTGGGATTATCTTTAAGCATAAGAATAGTTCCATTTATGTTCATGGGACAACTCAGGCAAATGCTGAACTGCTTTGATAGATCGGTGCCAGAGTGCTCAGTATCTTGCAGGATGGATCTCTTAATGAATGGTTAATTTTAGAGAAAAGGGGGATAGGCACTACGTTTTTTAAATGGCTGTTTAATTCATTTCAGTGCGTCAAAAAAAATCATTGCGGGCTAAATTTTCCAGACACAGCCCACAAAATTAGCCAGAGTACTTGCTGTGCAAGCAGAATGGGCATTTTCATATGCAAAATGGCTGAACGTGGAAATTTTGCAGCCAGTTGTAAAAATTTTGCCCCCACGATGAAAGAAGCGTGCATAAAAATATTCTCCAAACATTTTCTCTCTCCTACTGAATATCGTATTTTTCTAAATAATTAAAACTCCTTTTAAAAAATTCTACATAAATGGTTGTTTTCTTACGCGGAAAGATTTTTAAACCTTATATTTTTAAGGAAAAAGTGAGTTTTTATTGGATAGGGAGGGAAAATATTTATTTTAAAAAGTCAACAAAACCCTTTTCTCCAAATAAATGCAATTTCCACTACAGACTATGTATTACAAGGGTGTTTCTCATGTCCTTCAAACAACTGGCCTTATGCTTCACAATAGAAATAAGGTATGTCATGTAGGCAAGAAAATCCACGCCTTGGTGTGTGCTATTGTGTTATTTTACTTCATTGCTAAAATAGTGCCAGTCAAGGGTCTAGGCTTGCAACACCATTCCAGGTCCCCGTGGCACCACTCAAGGGTCTGGTTGGGCTGCTTTGTCTTTATTTTAATTAAGTCTTCCTAATGACCCAAGTAATAATGGGAAGTAAAAAAAAAAAAAAAAAGTCTGGTGTAAGAGCCCTATTCTCAGCATGTTAGCACAAGGCCTTTCTAGCCCCCAGCCAAGTTTTTGTGCATTATGCACATGCTTAACTGTGTTGAAGAGCGAGGTCTGCAGAAAGCAATAGCTAGAAGGAAGTGGATTCAGCTACCTGACTACAAAAGCTGCTACTTACTAAAGGTTTGGTGATCCAAATATTTGCAATAAAAACATCAATATGCATTTTATAAAATTAAGTTGCAATACATGCTACCAAGAGGAGAAAACTCCTGGGGCCAGGTCTTCTAATTTTCATTTCTGGATGCTTTTACTGTCCAATAGACTGGTGTTTTTTGTTGTTCATACAGCTCCAGTAGTACAGCTGACAAGGTCCCATCTGTGTGGGAGGGGTTTTAACTCATGTGGAAACGGTGCTCCCCTCGTGTTATGTGAGAAGAGAATTCATATCTGTCCTGGCTGTGGTAGCCACACATGTTGCATTCGAAAGGATCGCGGAACCCATGACAGCCCATGTGGATGGTGTACATCACATGATCCAAGAAAAGAACTCTACAGTGTTCGCACTTGTAAACTTTTACTTGCTCCCCATTGCTGGTGATCACTTTGAAAGCATCGTGGGAATTGTCAGTACCTGCCCTCAGGACTTCATATTGTCTCTGTTCTTCTTTTATAGACAGGCCATTTCTTGCGTGGGGAACTATGTGATTCGTCAGGTAAATTAAACCGCTGCGCTCCTCATTATTACTCTCTGTATCTGTTGAGTCTTGGCAGCTGTTGCTGGGGGAGGCATCCCTTTCAGAGGAGATGGATTTGGCTTTGGAAAGCAGCAACAAGTTTTCCACCGCGGTGTCCTGAGCAGTATGATTGGAACGAGCGTGATTGTCCCCAAGAGGTTTGTGGAGTTGATACATGGAGCTGATAATAGGTGCTGCTTCAGAGCTGCCTGGAGGTGTCTGCACAAGGGGACGCAAAGACTCTGCCCCTAGGTAACTGATGGCATTGTTAATGGCCTGGTCTATAACATGAGTCTGCATCATCTCACTCTCCTTCTCATAATTAGTGGTGGCATCGTATGGAACATCAGACAAGCATTTCTCACCTGCATTCCAAAACAATCAGGAGTTAGACATTTGGGATTCAATGTGTCTAAGTACTGGACTTCCTATGTCAGTAAAATCAAAATAGAAAGATTCAATGCGGGGTACAAATCTGCATCTGAAATTGAGAACTGCTGTGAAGAGCTCTCAATTTCCTGGTGTGCTACACTAGAACTGATGAGAAAATATATTTTGGCAAACGATCAAAAACTGAAAGATTTTGGCCAAACACACAAAAAAATTCAATTCTGAAATACTGCCGTGTTGCCTCATGAGACTTGTGGTTCAACTGCTTCAAACTCCCATTCTGCTCTACAGGCTGGGCTCCTTGGTTGGACTCTGGTGTGCCACGACCTCCTTCTTGGTGCATGGAGGTGCTATATCATGGCAGTTACATGTCCATGGTGCATCATGGGAGATAAAGTCTGTCAAAAGATCCTGGCCCATAGAAGAGAATGGGAGTTTGTCAGAAATATTTAGTTTTTTGTCTGAAAAACAAAAACATTTCATTTTTCGACCATTCAATGTATTGACAAAAAATCAAAACCTTCTGTGGAAAGCAAACACTTTTCCCACAATAATTCATTTAATCAAAAAATCAATTTTCCATCAAACACTTCAAATGAAAATTTTTTGACCAACCATAGGCTAGACACTAGTTCTGAAAAGAAGGTTCACATGTCCATAAGTTTTCTGTAGTGAAAAGTATAACTGGCAGAAGCAACATAAGGCAATGTTTCTCAAATAAATAATTCCATTGAACTGAAAATTAGCATTCTGCATGGAGTGAGACTTCTTTTGAGCTGGCTGAACAGTCCATTTTGCCAACCAAATCTAAGTGAGACCTTACAAGTGCAACAGAGTCCACTGAAAAAATTACAACTTCACATCTATGAGCAAAGAAAAAATATTAGGAGCAGTTTCCAAGTAGATAAACTAAGATTTCCAAAAGTTACTGTGTGTCCAACTTCTAAAGACTAAAAAGCGGGTGCTCCTCACTTTTAGAAGTCAGGCCCCTGTAAGGTGTCTCAAACTGGGCACCCAAAAATTGAAGTGCCTATTATCAGTAATCACTTTCGAAAATCTTGGCTATAGAGAAACAAGTTAAAAATAAAAGTAAAGCCTGGGAATTGGAGAAATTATTTAAAAATGCAGCTGCTGATTTAAAGTATATCTGTGTACTACGCTACACTATCACTCATGATACTGAACTTCACTAACAGGTAGCTTTGAATGACAAAAAAGTCTCTCATGCAGTATTTGTAATACATATGCAATATTACCAGTCCCATAAAGGAGGGGCAAAGAGGAAGAAACCTCCTTCAGGTTCCCAGATAGTGTACCCCACTCCCTATGGCAGGGGTTTTCAAAGTGCGGGTCGCGACCCAGTATGGGGTCGTGGAATGGAAGGCACTGGGTCGCAGCAGCTCTGATCAGCACCGCCGACTTGGCTGTTAAAAGTCCCATCGGCAGCGCTACCCGGCTAAGGCAGGCTAGTTCCTACCTGTTCTGACACCGCGCTGTGCCCCGGAAGTGGCCAGCAGCAGGTCCAGCTTCTAGGCGGGGGGGGCCATGGGACTCTGCGTATTTCCCCCGCCCCGAGCACCAGCTCCGCACTCCCATTGGCCGGAAACCAGCCAATAGGAGCTGGGGGGGTCGGTGCCTGCGGGCGAGAGCTACACAGAGCCGCTTGCGTGCCTCCGTCTAGGAGCTGGACCTGCTGCTGGCTGCTTCCGAGGCGGAGTGCGGTCCGTGGTGCCAGGACAGACAGGAAGCCTGTCTTAGCACCCCCGCTGCGCCACTGACCAGGAGCTGCCCAAGGTAAGCCCAATCCCCTGCCCCAGCCCTGAGCCCCCCCAAACCCAAAGCCCCTTTCTGCACCCCAAAACCCTCATCCCCGGCCCCACTACAGAGCCTGCACCCCCAGCCCAGAGCCTTGACCCCCTCCCACACCCCAATCCCCAGCCCTGAGCCCCCCCAAACCCAGAGCCCCCTCCTGCACCCCAAACCCCTCATCCCCGGCCCCACCCCCCAGCCCAGAGCCCTGCCCCCCTCCTGCCCCCCCAATCCCCTGCCCCAGTCCAGAGCCCCTTCCCACACCCTGAACCATTCATTCCTGGCCCCACCCCGCAGCCCTCACCCCCTCACCTCAACCCTCTGGCCCAGCCCTGATCCCCTCCCTCACCACAAACCCCTCAACCCCAGCTTCGCTGGGTCACGGGCATTAACAATTTTCTTCAACTGGGTCACCAGAAAAAAAGTTTGAACACCACTTCCCTATGGAACTCTGAGCAACGTGGGTCTGACAGATCTCAGGGGATCCAGTGGAGGTGAGGTCTTTCTATGCAGAGCCTGTGCTGCTTCCCTCCTACCAGCCACTGCTGCTGTCACTCCTCCTTAAAATACAGAGGGGCTCCCTTGGAAGTTAATACTGCTCCAGGCTATACTAATAACTTTCCATTAGTCTGCAGCATGTACAAGATTGCATAAAATGGGGCTCAATTGTCCCTTCCTGTTGAAGAGCCTCCAAAGAGCAGGGGGAAAGTCTGCTGGAAATTCCACAGGATGAACTGGACAGAACTGCCCTGTCAGAGTGGAGGGATTTCCAAACTCCACAAAGGGCCAAGAGTGCAGCCTGGAAATCGCTTGCTTGAAATCCTGCAAAAAACAGGCCTATCGTGCAGAAAGTCCTGCTGCCTACCAGGCACTTCCTGAGCCTCCATCTTCTCTGGAAGCCTGGCTCCTCCCTGCTGTGCTCTAGCCTCGCTCCACAGCAGGGGAGGTAGCAGGCACAGAATGGGAGCCAACTAGAGCTGGTCAGGAATTTTTTGACAAAACGTCTTTTTGTAGGAAAATGCAGATGAGTCAAAACTAGAACGTTTTGTGGAATCGTCTCTCTTTTTGTCTAAACTTTCTCAGGTCCGGGATTTCTCCCTCCTCCCAGGAGGCTCTTATTCAGCTGAAATGTGGGAGACTTAGGTTCAAATCCCTGCTCTGACTCAAGCAGAGCAGGGATTTGCTCTTGGGTCTTCCCTCGTCCTCAGGCGAGTGCTCTACCCAGTGAGCTATTGGGTAATTGGAAGGCAGGGGACTCTCTCATTTTTTGTGAAAAATTTCTAAAAGTTTTAGTTTTTGTTCTAATGCAGAATGAAAACAAATGTCAAAAGCTCAACATATGTTCAAAATGGATGTTTTTGTTTTCTGACCAGCCCTAGAGCTAGCACTTCTTGGAGCTATCTTAACTCCTCGGTACATTTCCAGTAAGGAGGCATGGCATATACAGCTCCTAACTTGGCTCCACCCATGCCAGACCTTGTGCTTTTTGGGTTGCTTTTCCCACCTCCCACGCCTAGTGCTAGTGTTTGCTCCTCCCCACTAATGCCATGGTTTTTATTAGATGCACCATTTCTAATCCCATAGTTTCAAAATGTAAAGAGCTAAAGACTAGAGATTCAAAATGGACTCTGTGGAAAATGCATGGGCAATGTGTGAAATGCTTACCACATTTTTTAATATGAATTTATACCCCTGATTCAGAAAACAACAAAGTTAAAGCATATATGTACTGTACATCATTAAACCTGGGCTTTCTTTATTATTATATGTCATGCACTGAGCATCCAGAGGGCACAAGTTTAGGTGTTCTTTATTGGTTAATATTTGCTTTATGATTATGTACCATAACTAGCCTATAGCTGACCAATATGATCAGCTCCTCGTAAGGAAAAATCTGTCACAGAGCAAGAGCATTTCAAACGCACACAAGCTTAAGACAGGCAAGTATCATTTTTACATATGGGCAGTGCAGATAACACTAGTGCTCATTAAAAACAATCACCTATTTTTATGGTTATCAGAGAATAAGTAAGGTAAACTGCTAGTGGCAAGAAACTCTTCACAAGCTTTGCAGGGTGCTTGCCGCAGGTAACTAAATGCTAACAGACAGCTGATACGCTCTAGCTCTGATAGGCTTCTTTTTAAAAAAAAAATTCTGGTTGATGTTTTAACATATCAGACAAATTTCAGCCTGAACTGTTACCAGTCCCTCTCCAACCCCAGGTTGGAAGGTCCAATTTGGCTCTCAGCCCTGGGGTTTGTTCCTGTTTGCAAAGCAAGGTGCCGTACACAAGTGCTGCAATGGTACTATCGCTGTCAAATAATTTCACACCTAATTAATTGAAATTGGTGAATGAGCTCAGCTTTATACCAAGTTCCACCTTGAGAACCTTACTGTTCTTTCTCTCTTGAGTTTGGGACTGACTGGACCTTGACTTAGCTCTAATATTGTTGTGTTCTTCTTTGCCACAGTGGCTTGTTTTTCCTACCTTGTTAACTAGCCCTGAGGTTTATGCTTGGCTGAGGAAACCTGCGCCTTCTCTGGCATTTGTAACCAGTGGTGCTTCTGGGCTTGATTCTCCCCTTATTTAATTCTGTCTAAATGACGAGTGATGCCAGTGAGGTCAATAGTGATGCGCTGGTTTAAAATCAGTGTAAGTGAGGAGAATCAGGACCGGTGTCTTTTAAATTAGTCACTGGTTAAATGATGGTAGCATTGTTATGTTAAAGGAATGCGGGAGAGCTGGAAATTGGTTCAGTGTTTGGTGTATTTAATCCTTTAGTTCAATGTCCATTTTCTTGTTACCAAAACGGACTTTGGGCAAGGAGACTGGACTTGGAGTTTGAGCAACTGGTAATGTACTTCATATTAAATGGGGTGAGCACTGGGGAAAAAAGGAGGAAATTTGGGGGTCTCTGATGAGTCTCTTTGCCCAAAGAGGCCTTTTTTTTTTTTTTACAGCAGAGTCTTCATAAATAGTTTGTCATGGTGTCTTCTTACACCACACACTGAATAAGAGACAGGAAACTTTGCCTTACCTGTGTCTCTCATTTGCCTGGCTTTCTCTATTGTTTGTCAGGATGAGGGTGACAAACAATGGAAAACAAAAAACAGTCCATGCCCAACCGCTCTAAATGGGTTACTTATTTGTGTTTATTAAAAATAGTTTTCTAAACCAAATTAATTTCTCTAGTCTTCCTGGTGTCTTCACAGCTGATATTTTTCCTTATGCAAAAAGTCTAAGAGACAAATTCAATCCAAGCCTTCAGAAGAATTGCATCAACTTACTCCGGTAGTTGAATCCGGTCCTTAATCATCAAACAATTTGGAGTTCTTTAATAACTCAGAATTCCTACCACATTTTCAGTATTTACCTCCACTACAATTCTGCCATCTTAGTTGGTAAGCACCTACATTTCCTGCCCTGATTAAGTCCTGCTCCTACAATCACTTCTTTTCCCCGTCTTTGACTGTCTCCTTAAACCTACTATTCTACCTTCTGACATAATGACACACTCTGGTACAAGATTCCTCCTCCCCTCTCTTACAATATAGTCTCTCCTCCCTCACCCGTTTCTGACTCAGACGTGTGTCTCTTACTCTCTTCCACCAGTCTCTCAATCTGCTCTCTTGACCTTGTTTTCTCCAACTCCTGACTTCCCCACTTATACAATCTCCCTCTTTCTCAGTTTTTCTCCGCTCTCGCTCACACATCTCTGACTTCAAGCATGCTATTATTTCCTGTAGCCTCAAACCTCCCTCCATTGAGCCCATCTCCTTCTCCATCTACCACTCTCCTCTTTCAAAATTCTCAAATGCGTTTTCTACCCATGTGGCCTTAACTTCCTCTATGTTAATTCACTCCTTGATCACCTTCAATTGGGCCACCTCCATTCCACTGAAACTGCCCAATGATGTCGTCCTGGACAAATCACAAAGGTTCTTCTCCATCTCCATAATTTTCAGCTCTCTCCCATTTTAGATATAGTTGATCATGCCCTCTTCCTAAATACTCTCTCTGCCCTAGACTGTAGAGACTTCCTCTCCTACCTCTCAGACTACTTCTGCAGTATCTTCTTTGGTGGTGCCTCTTTCCTCCCTCTCTTTACCAAGGTCTCTCAGTGTTCTGTGTTGGCCCTATCTTCTTCTCCCTTTACAATCTCATCCAGTATTTTCTGCTGTGCCTCTTCTCCTCTCACTTAAACCCACTCTATTCATATTTGTACTTCTGGCTGTCTCTTCCTGGATGTCCCGCCCACAGCTCAAATTTAACCCCTGAAAAACTGAATGCCTACTGCTCTACCAGTGTTCTTCCCTGCTTCAAATCCTTCCATTGGCTTCCTGTCACCCACTCCATCAAGTTTAGGCTTCTTCTTCTTCTCTTAAAGGGTATATACAACTTGGATCCCTACTATTCTCTGTTTGTCTCTTTCTGTGGCACGCTTCACTCCCCCTTTGCTCCATCCCTGCCACATGAGCTACTGCTCCCTTGTGTCTTCCCACTCTTAGAATCAAACCTCCTTCCATGTGGCTTCCTACATTCTGGAATCCCCCTCCCTTACCTAGTCTGTCATGTCTCCACCTTTTCTTCAAAACCCGTCTTACAATTTAGTCCTTCCCAAAGGCTTTAATCCTCTCCTGAAGCAAGTGATATAAAACTAGGAGAAGTCTGAATATTCTGTCTGTTTCTCTGTATAAGTGAGCTCAGGCTTTCCTTTGAGTTTCCATGCTTTTGAAGGTTTAAGGCTAAACCTAAACATTGTTGCAATCTCTCTCATTGTATTCAGTTTCCTTTGATTGATTTGCTACAAGCCACTACTCTGCACAGTGAATACCAACTGGAAGAAGAAAATGGACACAACCTCCTAGTCAAGTCACTGAGGCAAGAAAATGTCTATTAGTAAAAGGAGGAAGCAGGTTATGGAAGTTTGTGTTGCTTACAGTATGTACGTGAAGAAGTATAAATTGATCTTGGTTTTTCTTTTACCATTCTCATCAGGTGGGCACATATTTCTAGGTTTATAAATGATACTTGACCAAAGAAATGAGGTAAACAAGTGTACAACCTTTCTGAAGGAGTCAAAGAGTATTAACCTCTTACGTTCAGCCCATCCTCACCTACACACACATGCTTACACGTGTCAACACACAGGGTCGGGCCCTAATGTGGGAAGTTAACAAAATGTAGTCTTAAGCATCTGCTTAAGTGCTTTCCTGAATAGGAGCCTCGATTCCCAGGATAATCATATAGAAGACCTGGGGCATCAACAGTGGAAAAGGCAAGAATACTGAACCCCCCCACAAAAGCTGTAAAATGGAAAGTTAAGCTGCAGAAAGTATCCTTTTTTAATGCATCCATCTAGCGAATCCTATATATTTATATATTGTTAATTTAATGATAACAAATGAAAATCATGATGCAAGACTGAAAACCCTATAAGGCTTTTTTTAGGAGACAGCAAACGTTTAACTCTTACCAACAAATTTCTGAGGCATAGAGCTCTTACGTTTGGCGACGTTACTTGCTAGTCTATCCAGCACGAGGGATCTCTCTGACCCTATCTTGCACAAGTCTTCAGCCATTTCACTGTGGTTAGTTTCCTCTTTTATGACTGAAATCAAATGACATCAGAGGGTTAGGCACGCATGCTCCATTTTAATGGAACTACCATCTTTGTATCATGTTAGTCAGACTTTTCTATTAGCATGCAACCAGCTAAAACCAGGAGCTTACAATGACAGGCACAGGTTGACTCTGACTATTTGTATCATTGTCCCTTATGCTGACTAAATTAGATCAGTGCTCATCTTCCCCTCAAATAGGATGTAGAGATAACAGATTGCAAAGCTTACGGGGCCTGATTCTCCATTACTCTGCGCCCTGTCTAGTTATTTACACTGGTGCAAAATGAATGTCTAACATGATCACTCTGATTTGGTTTTACACCCACCTTGCAATGGTCTGAACGATTACACATGGTGCAGGAAAATGGAGAATCAGGCCCTAAGATCTTTAATATTACATTTGATACAAAGCCCTCCCCCTCTTACCCTCCCCCCCCACTACCTTTTAGTGACAGAAAAGCCCAGCACAATAAGCATCACTTCATCAGAAATGGGGCATGGTTATCACTTCGTATAGAAGAATGTATTTATAATTTATTCAGAAAACAACTTCTCTGACAGTTCTCTATTACGCTACTTCCCTGATACAGTGTTAGTCATTAAAATCCAATTTTAGCTAGTCCAGTGGCTGAACATATATTTATCATAGAGCATTGACCTTCTGCACTCAGACTGTTTTCTGACTTCCCGCTACTGCTAAGAAGTTTTAGGTTTAGAAAGAAAGCCCAGTAAAGAGATTCTTAGCTATGAACCATTAGGGAAAAGGTTCCTGTTATGTCACTTTGTTGCAATTGCCTGTGGAAGCTGAAGGGGGTCTGAGATGAGCTGGCACAACAAGAGCTCTATGACAGTAAACTATACTTATCCTGAGCATCCAATGTCTGAAGAAAAGGTGATCTATCAAGTGTGTGTAACACATACTGAGTGATTGCTCTCTGGATTTTTTTTATCTTTTGCCAGGAGATGAATATTTTAAGCAAGATTGTGACTTGATATCTGATCATCAAGTAATAAAGCATGAACGATTTAGGCCTTGATTGGGCAATCTGTCTTTTATGTTCTATGTATGCTGGTGACACGTTATCTTCTCAATAGGTGTCCTCACTTATTGATAGATGTTTACATGGTATCTACTGCTGTGGTAATTGGACATATAACAATAGTTAAAGTAAATATATCTGTTGCCTACATGAAAGGAATAAGCAAACCTAATGGACTGCCATGCTAGTAATATGTACACAGTGTTATTGTAACTGTATTGGTCCCAGGATATTAAAGAGAGACAAGGTGGATGAGGTAATATCTTTTATTGGACCAATTTGACTCTTCTTCAGGTCTGTGTAAGCTCGAAAGCTTGTCTCTCTCACCCACAGAAGTTGGTCCAATAAAAGATATTACCTCACGCACCTTGTCTCTCTAATGTTAGCAATATGTCATTTAAATGGCAGCCTGATAGAACAGGCTTAGCTACATCATCCCCTGAGTTGACAGACTCAGGTGGGGTGGATCAACAGAAGGAACTGTTAAGTGCCCTCAGAGAAGAGTGCCCCCATGGAAGACAACTCTAGGAACCAATAGCAGGAGCAATCTAGCAGATCTTAACCACTGCTGCAGGATGACATACTACAGTGGTTGAAGTGCTCGCTAAAATGACTGGGCCCCAGACCATTTAAGATTTTAAAGACTGTGACCCACCCCTTGAATAGCATCTGGAAGTGATCAGTCAGTCAGTACAGGGCATTGGTGTTGTATGCTCATTACAATGCACCCATTAAGGAGGCAAGCTTCTGCATTTGGTGTAAGCTAACACTTTCAGGTGTTTTCCAATCCAATTTAGAAGTCACAAAAGGGTAAAACTCTATGGTAAAGGCCCAAAGCAATAAAAAATCATTGTTTCTAAAGGACATAATGACAAATAGCAGTTCCCACATTGCCACCAAAATGCAAAGACATTTCCCCATGGCATCCAAGAAGGTAGCACAATAACAGTTCCAAAGAATTAAAGGAGGGTTAGCCCATGAGTTCACATACTTTTTGTTTGTTTGTTTGTTTGTTTGTTTGTTTGCTGTTTTGATGCAAAATGGCAAGCAAAAAATAAAAATTTAGGCCCAAACCAGTATTTTCCAGTTTTGGGAAACTGAAACCTACCCCCACCCTACCACACCCCAAAAACATTGGCTGCAAACCTGAATTTTGGGGGGTTTTGGTTGCCAAAAACTGAAAATTGTTTCTGTTTTTGTGTTTTCACTGAATTTTTTTGTGGGAACAAAAAACATTGGCCCACTCGGTGTAGGCGTATACAGATATCAATCTACCTGTGTATCTTTGTGGCTGTACTATGCCATATCTTCATTGATTTATTCTAATGATATACTAAACCACAAGAGCAAAGCTCAGTCTATAAGTTTTCATAGTTTGTCTTTTCTGTTATTTTCTATAGTACTTGGAGGGTCTCATGTGTTCCTATTGAAATCAATAGCAAAACTCCAACTTATGTCTGTGGAAGCAGCATCAGACACTAAGGTGAAATTCTAGCCCTACTGAAGTTGTTTGGAGCTTTGCCATTGATTTCAGTGGGGCCAGGATTTCACTCCAAATCGTCAAATTCAAAGACAAAATGAAAGAAAATATGTTGTTCCCCTTCACCCTCCTCCTTGGCTCTGCCCATATTAGGTACGTTTCCCAATGAGATCTATCAGGCTCCTAAAGGAAGTGGTAGAAATCAATTGCTTAGGAATTTTTCAGTTAGATTAGACAAAATACTAGAAAATATGCTGTGGAAAATAATCCTGCAGTAACAGGGAGATGGACCGGATGACCTTACCTCTCATTTTTATGATTCTATCAATACAACAATCAGTGGGACTTTATTATCATAGTAATAGCTCAATAATACATACTGAAAAGCTGAATGAACAGTAGTTCTTGCATATAAGACTGACTTACTTTTCTAAGTATAAAAAACATGCATTAAAAATATTTTTAAATACGAAAAGGACCATGTCTCATTCTGAACGGCTTTGTTGCATATTTACCTCTTTACAGATACAATATTTTTAAAATTGAAAAAGGGCATCTGAAGTCAAACTGTGTTTGTGATGAGTTAGGGAGCCTTGTATGTAATTTAAAATACCAGGATCACTTTCAACAAAGGTTTTTTTAATGAAAAACTGGTTTATTACCTGAGAAATAATACCAAATTTTGTTAAAAAGTAGGAGCTTTGGCAAAATACAATGTTTAAAATATAAGCTATTCCTTCCATTTTACTACCGGTTTCTATAATCAAAGTCATATTAGGTATAATAGGGATCTGTCTGATACTCTTTGTGTATGCAAGAAAGCAATGTTTCTTAAACACCACTTATGAATATGCCAACTTTCAATCTGATTCAAATATTAAATACTGAGCTGCATAACCCTAAACTGCTGTGAACATCTAAGCTTTTTCTATCAGGGTTTATAATGAGCACAGTCCCATACATCTGAGAGTTATTTCTTATTACAGTTTCTTGTTACTGATTTCAGCTTCATCTGCATATTTTTCTTTACTAATATTTTATTTTCAGCAAGTAACTGAAAAGCTAACACAAATTGTTGTTTTCTTTTGCCCACAGACGTATCAAACCTTTATGCCAGGCACTGGAAATTCTAACCCCAGACAGACTATTGGCTTCTACATCCTATCACCCTGTTACGGAATAAATATCATGGCCTTGAGTACATTAGCTTCAGCTTTCCTCCTATTTATACATTCTCCAACCCCTCAATAAAATTAGGAGGAGCGCTGCTCTAACATGCTGTCTGTCAGAAGAATCTCAGTTGCATTCAGTGTTATCATTATGTGCATCTACTTTACATTATCTTGTAACATGTAAAAACATATTCAAGTGCTGTCCAGATATACAATGTTAAATAAGGCATCATTGCAAATAGGTCAGAGATAACATACCAGTTTGTCATTTGACAAACTGAATAATATATACTTACAGGATCCAAAAGGTATGCAAGAAATGTAGTTTATCAGAAGGACTGTAACCTTAAATTCCTCTGTACATTGATACTATGCTCGCCCCCTGAACTAATGCCTATCAACATATCTGGTATGATTACCTCTTGTGATCAGTCTGACACATGTAATTGGTACCTTTGTTTCCAACCTGCAAGACCTCCTCAATTTAAGGCACAATTTTAGATTCTGTAGTCTCTAAGGAATAGATTGTGGCTCTGCCACATGCCCCAGACATGGGATCAGGTGTTGGTGCACAGGCCCCAAGGAAAAAATCGTGTTCCAGAGAGGCATGATTCCCTCCCTACTTCCCCTTTGGTTTAGGTGGGTAGTTGTTTGTTGCTGGTGCCTACCAACAGCAAATTACTACCCTCTCCAGACTGGCTCCTCTGGGTTAGCCAATGCATTGTGGGGCAGAGCTAAGGTTCTTCTCTCTTCCTGCTCACCTGCTTGGCCTGGGAGGAGTAGTTGGCATTGAGCGCCTACTCATTGCTGTGCACTGGGACACAAGGTCCGGATAGCCTATGCAGGTGTGTAAGGGTGTGTGTGGTTCTTATCCCCTCTTATACCAAAGTGTGCATTCCAGAGTAAATTAGCTCTAAATCATGTACTGGCAGTGGAATTACCTTTTTAACAAGAGTTTGTAGTCCTGAGTATTGTAATCTATAGGACTCAAAATAAATAGGAAAGTTCCAGCCCTATGAGTTGGGATAACTATGCTTTAGCCTGAACAGCTGGTGCGCTAAGGAATTCCAAGTCTTGTAGCTGGTTATCTGAAGGTGTTGTTTCTAGATGTAAAAGTCAAAATTGGCCTTCATACCTTAGCTTCCTCATTTTAGATTGGAGCAAGGAAAACAAGAAAACTAAATATTGATTAAGTACAACAATAGCTCCAACTAATTATCTACCTACCAAGACAGAGATGGAAATATATATCCAAAAATCTGTTCAGTGGTGGTACTGTAATGGATAGTTATGCTTCCCAGATAGCTCAACTAGACCGTCCCCTGGCAATTAATGAGTGACAGGAGGGTACTGGTTCCAGATTTACCCTTTCTGCTTTGAACTCCTACCTGGATACAAGCTGCCTGAGAGGCTCATGGTTTGCAGATAATTATGGCAGCGTTCTTTATGTTCTTCTAAAGAGCTGCGTTGTTTATAGCTTCGGCCACAGTATCCACATTTGTGAGGTTTGCCAACTGCAGAAAACACAATTTAGCAAATGAGTGAAATTAAGTATCTGACAGAATAATAATAACAACAAGAAATCATTTGTGCTATGACTATCTACAGCCAACGATCAGTGGAGTATTTGGGGCCTCTCAAAACAACAATGAAAATTTAGTTATAGTCTCTAATTGAAAGACAAGGTCCTCAGCCGGTACAAACTGGCATAGCTCCATTGAAATCAATGGAACTACCCTGATTTACACCCGCCAAGGAATCTGGCCTTAAATCTTCAAAACTAGGGCAATCTCAGTTTCCCCACACATTTTGTGTGTCATTGGTCCTGATTGGTTGTCTTCTCTGCTTTGGAACTGGTCTGAAATATCTGAGGGCAAGTGAAATATCAAATAGAATTTTGTCTTGGTGACTGGTGGCATGCAACAGCAAAATCAGAGACCCACAGAGGCACCAAATACCTCAAAGGATGTTTGCAAATATGATAACATTTGTCTAAGTATTCAGTTTGCTGGGTTTTGTAAAATAAAGATGTGTGTATTGATAACTGTTTCTATAAAGTTAAAAGGTTTGCAAAACACTAGGACAGATGATGTTAAAATCCTGGGTTCTCAAGTTGAAAATTATCTTGGAATGCTGGGATCCCAATTTCTGGAATTTCAGGACCTTGGACTCTACCCCTTAGAATGTATTGCATTGGGGAGCTGCCAGTTTGGCACAGAAAGGGTTGCAGTGCTACAAGCCTTTCTCCATTCTTTGCCTCATCCTTGATGTGGGAAGAATTCTCAGGTTGATGAGGGAAGAACTGTAGGGATGAGAAGGTAATTCAGTCTCCAAGTCCTTTAATTATTTACCTCTCTGCACAGAGACTGCCAACTGGGGTGACTGTTTTTGTGGTGTAGACCACTGTCCACTAGAGATAGATGAACCAGTTCTGATGCAACGAGAACCAACTCAACCCTTTACTTAAAATTCGAACCAAATCCAAATAGAGCCTTTTTTAAAGGTTCAAATCAGTCCTGGATAATTTTTATAAAAAATATTTTAATTTTCCTGGTTCTAGCAGAATCCAGAAGTAGAAGCACTGAAATATCATGACAGAGGCTCTGCTTGTGGTGTATCTAGCATGACCAAATGCAGAAAGTACTGGGGAATCTTACAAGAGTGACCGTTCACGTGAGATTTCTGGCCCAAAATTTGAGGACTTATACTAAAAAGACTGGCCAGTTTTGATAAGGAGCTGTACTTTTGGATGGTTATACAAACCTCATGTTTGAGTTTCACTCACCACCACTGTCAGCTAGGAACTGGACTGAGACCATCAAGGTATTTGCATACAATGATGCAACTTTAACTAATCATAATAATATTGCATATTTATATAGTTTCTCAGATCCTAAAGAATCTCAAAACTTTATTCAAACTGTATAGAAATCACTTCACCCACATCTGGGATGGAATGCTACAGCTGCTAAATAGCATAAAGCACAACACAATACCTGTTCGGAGAGGAAGTGCAGAGGAATACTGTATCTCCTTGAAATGGCAATTTTAGATAAGCAGAATGCCTATATGCCCAGTTCAGAAAAAAATCCTTATGCAGGATATCATTTAAGCACATGCTTAAGTCCCACTAAAATCAATGGGCTTAAGCACATCTTTAATATTACGCTTGTGCTTAAACGGTTTCTTGAATTAGGACCTGATATAGGCAGAATCCAAAGGGAATTTGATTTGGACACCTGGGAGAACACCTCTTACAGACAAAGCCATCTTTAGTGATCAGTTTTTCACCCCAGATAAAAAATGGCACTTCCAGAGTCTGCTACTACCATCCAGGGCCATTGGCTCAATGCTAACTTTTTTTTACATCACTTCTGGAAGCACAAGGGGTTTCCCTTGGAGGCCTCCTATCCAAATACTGACCAGGAGAATTCCAGCGTAATTTGTGACATCTGATGAAATCACAGCCCCAGTTTGCATGGTTGCAGGCACTTTTAATGGTGCGGGTACCATTTTGGATTTGCTCTCAGAAGGAGAGTGATGCGGTGACCTTTTTAAACATTGAGAAGCCTTGTTATGAGCACAAGCATGAGTATTTCAGAAAATATTTATCCAGGCCTCCATATTAGAGTCTTTTTATTTAAGAAATAACGACCCCTACCTGAAACCTCTAAGAGTAGAATGCAGCACACAACATATGTTATGCGCAATGGGTGAAATTAATCTCATACTCAGAGAGCCAGCACCAAGCCTATGCATTACTCAAACCTTCTTTTTGAGGGATTAAGTGGGACTTAACTGGCGCAGTGCCCTTAGGCAGGCTCTGCACCGTGGTGCATTTCACTCAAATCATGCAGCCCTTATTCATGCAAGTAGTCCCATTAAAGAGATTGCTCACCTAAGGGTTGAAATATCAGACCCTAACATGGGAATTTCCAACTAACCTGGTGCCAAGAAGTAAAGAAAAGATGATTATTTGGGGTTGCTAAAATAAGCACAGTTTAGTAACTTCTGAGGAGGCATCCTCACAGCTCAAATATTGCAGCTGATCATTTTTTGTTCATGTCACAAGTTGGTTAAGCCTGAAGTGAGACTACTTGCATCCTGATCCAAGCAGCCATTGAAGACATGATGGCAGTGAGCATGTACACAACTCCCGGCCTGACCTGGAAGTGAGCAAACTTTGTCCAGAAAGTGCTCGGATGCAGTTACTAACCAGAATGAGTCCTCAGGTGGCCCGTGAGGGCATCCCTGCGTCGGCAGGCGTAGTTGCACAAGTGACATTTGAAGGGTTTTTCGCCTGAATGCAACTTTATGTGGCGGAGGAGGTTGCCTTTCTGAGTAAAGGAGGCTCCACACTGAGTGCAGTGGAAAGGGCGTTCCCCTATGAGGAGAAGGAGAAATATGTGAGAACAAAAATCTTACATAGTAACGAGAGAAAGATTTCAGTGAGAAAGTTGTTTTCTCACTGGTGCTCTATGACTTCCACCGGCTGCAGGTTTGATATAACATGAGGCTTTCAGACTAAACCTGCCAGTTTCTTAACGCTTCACTGGCTGGGTCAATTTGATCTGAAAATCTAATTTTTTTTTTCTAAATCAGAATGGCACATCACAATGCAAATTCAAACTCATTTAAATAAAGTGACTGCAACATTTTGTGTTGAAGAGCCACTCTTCCTGATCAGCAGTTTTGGAATAAACCAATATCCAATTTTGCATGTTGTGGCATTTGGTGGGGTTTTTAATGTGGCTTTTTTCAAAGGGTCTTTAAAATATGCCACTGAAGCAGCAAAATAAAAAGGAAACTCATTAAAAATGCATTTCAGGATCACAAGTTCATTTCAGCGTTACATTCTTATATTTAAATGAAAGGCACTTCATTATAACAGTTATAATAACTTCTTTTCATTTACATTTTCCCTGTATTTTCCCTTTCAATTTCTTCTCCATTACCTGTCTGTCCCTAAGCAGCCAAATCAGGAAAGAGACAGAAGAGAGAGAAAAAAATAAAATGAGAAGTTTAGACAGTGTAAAGGAAACCCTGTACCTTCCATACAAAAGTCCTGACCCTCCTCAGGCAGGATATTAACATAGGAGTTATATTAATGTGCTTTTCTCCACTTCAGGAAAAAAAAAAACACCCAACCCTTTAGGAAGCACAGTCATTTGTCTAAATTGGTACACTTTATCAAGGGAGCAAGTCAGATTGCCCATACAAAGATGCAAATATGGCTTTGGTGTTATTTTTTGTTGTTGTTTGGGTTTGGTTTTTGGTATTGCTCTTTGAAGTTGTTATGCTTTTTTGCTTTGGAGGTATGTGATTTTTTTAAATCTCTGGTAAATGTGATCTGTGTTTTGAGTTGCACCAAATGGTTGGATTAGATGGGACAATTTACATAAGAAAGAAATCCTGTGTATCATCCCCCCCAATTCCTTCCATCATTCCTGTTTGCCATAAGAAATGGTCCCTGAGTCTGATATCAAACCAGTCTTTGAAACTAATTTTCTGACATCTGTTTGTCCTAAGTGAAAACTAAAATAATTATGTCAGCTAATGTTTTAGTGATAAAACAGAATTGATCTTCTTTTTTAATGCAAAAGAACAACACAAGATTAAAAAAAGTTAAACCAGTAAATGCTTCCTTTCCCTCCAGCCCATATGAAGATCTCTTGTTATCTTGCACATTTGGAAACAACTAGCTTGTGCGTGTGAGCATACAAAAACAAGCTATAACCATTCTCATTATTGAGTAATATGGTTAGAAAGCTCAGAAACAAACAGATAAAAGGGAAGCACAATCTGACCTATGGAGAATCCTTTGCTTGGCTGATCACTATAATCGGGATCACATCCCTTAACATTCAAATATGGGCTAATGGGAGGCTATTTTGTGAAAAGGAGTATTTGACCAAGTGTCCTCTGGTAGGTCTGAATCTCCCAGTTTAGGAAATGAGTCCCTGTCTTCATCACAACCCAGATCCTTAAAAGTATTCAGGCATCTAAACTCCCGTTGATTTCAATGGGAGTTAGATGCCTAACTACCACTGAGGATCTGGGCCCAAGAAACTTTAAGGGCCAGATTCTCAGCTGGTGTAAAATGGTGTAGCTCCACTGAGTCTGAGGAGCTATCCCTCCAGGGTTGTACCATATGATCACTTGAAAAGAAGCTATTTACACTAGGTGTTGCAAAGAACTGAGCGGTTATTGGCGTCTGCCTCTGGTTTGTGTTCTCTACATCTTTGTAGCAGTTAATAGGTAAGATATTTTTTAGGCTGGAGTGAAACAGTGACTGAGAAGCCAGTTCTCACTGACAGTCACAAACACAGAGGAAACAGTTAATTCTTACTAAGCGGCTTTTCTGCCATTCATTTCAATTAGTTTTACTCAGAGAAGCAAAAGAGGAGAAAATAAGGACGATAAAAGCATACAGGGAGAGGCATGCAGAGTAAGAATGAAAAGTGTCTCCAACCTACAGCTCTCATAATGACAGGGTGAAACCTTGCATTGGGCAGGAAAGGCAGACAGCTGGAGAATTTGAACTGAAAATGCTGTGTACTCTATAATACTATATAACTCACACTGGGAGCATATATTAGGGAACCAATACTCAAGTCACCATATTACAATAACTGAAAATACATCTGCACTAAAAGACTACTAATTCAGGTGTCTTTTCTCCCAATACCCAAGTTGCCCACTCTACAGCTATGGGGTGGCAAAAGCATGTACTCAATATGGGGCCTAACAGACCAAACAACCTTCAACAAGAATGGCAAGCCAGTCTAGGATATATCTGGGGATATCACTGGCTATGAGCATCTCCCACAGAATGAGAGAGAGACACCAGTTCTCAGAAAGTTACATTTGTCTTTTTACTTGAGTAATCTGATTTAACTCTTCTCTGATTTCCTGCTCTGCACAGCACTATTCTTCCAGGGTAAAATTCAGCTCATGTAGAGGGCCAACAAGGCCTAGGTGCCATTTACGTCCCACTTAAGCATTAGTTTCATTCCCCCTTGACAGGTTTCAGAGTGGTAGCCGTGTTAGTCTGTATCAGCAAAAAGAACAAGGAGTACTTGTGGCACCTTAGAGACTAACAAATTTATTTGGGCATAAGCTTTTGTGGGCTAAAAAAGCTTATGCCCAAGTAAATTTGTTAATCTCTAAGGTGCCACAAGTATTCCTCGTTCTATTCCCCCCTGAGAAAAGTTTATCATCTCCTCCTTACTTGCAAGTTTTTCATCCCTAATAAAAGGTTTCTTATTGCAGGTGCACCCACATACACACTCTCAGTGCTATCCTCTATCCCAGTGGTTTTCAATCTTTTTTCATTTGCGGACCCCTAACAATTTTCAAATGGAGGTGCAGACTCTTTTGGAAATCTTAGACAGTCGGTGGACCCCCAGGGTCCATGGACCGCAGGTTGAAAACCACTGTTGTATGGTAACAACCATTTTGCGGACCCCTTAGACATAGTCTGTGGCCCCTCTGGGGTCTGTGGACCACAGGTTGAAAACCACTGCTCTAACCACTGGCACAAACCAGCTACTGTATAGATAGGTGCAAGGCTTTCTTCCTTACACAGGTCCCTCACAGCATTTCAATCTGACCTGCAACAATCCTAGCCAGGACATTTTGCCAATCACATGCTATTATGGGGAGAATCCTGAAAGGTGTGGAATACCTGCAGTTCCTTTTGGCTTCAATGAGAGTTGCGGATGCTCAAGCAACTTTCAAGATCAAGCCATATATGTTGTTTTCAGGAGCTAGAAAAATGAGGATTATGTTGAGATGGCCAGAGCCCTCCCCATTTGTGACTTTAGTTAGGATTTTAGACTCAGGTCTTGACAGGTGAAAGTCTAGTGCCTTAATGCACCGTGCAACCCTACCTTCTCACTGGAGAATGTGTATAAACCCTTTAAATGATCAATAGCAGGGAGCATCAGATATGGTGATGGCTGTGTGCTTCTGACACCTAGCTAGGGAGACAGTGATCAAATACAGGACCAACAGTGACTTTGGCTAAGGGACTCCAAAATAGCACAGACTGGTATGGCAAGTTAAGCATGAGCCCATGCTCAGGGGTCTCAAATTCAGCAAGCATGAGTTTTTCAATTTAAAAGTGCTTTCCTAAAATTTTAACGTGAAAGGAACAATAGGCTGAATATCATCAACCAGCTAACAGATGGGGGGGTCAGATAGTCATGAGTGGAATCCTTGTCTACAATAAGGAGAAGCTGGTAACAATATTGGTGAGTAGTCGGGATTTTACAGCTACTTGCAGACAGGAGTGGGCAGAAAATATCAGGTGCTATTCTGCATATCTACACTTGGCAGGTGTTTTCATTAAATGTAATTATGTCTTATCAGGTCAGGCAGTCATTATATTTTGGCATTTTAGTGTGCCAGAGTTTTATTCATTTATCAAATATTTATTTAAGAGCACTTCACTGTATATGCAGGTTTTACATGAATTAACAGCAAAGTAATTCATTTGCAAGGCTTATTCCCTCATCAGGCACATATTGAAATGGGCTTCAGCATAGTCAGTTAAATGTCTTTAATAGTGTATCCCATTTCCACTTTAATTTTCACAGCAGACCTGAAAGGGAAAATGGTTACTACTATTTCCCTATGACATCCCTTTAATTTAGAATGGCTGGGCCTGATCCTGAACTCTTTCTCCAATCCCTGCACAAGGTGACCTCCAATGGACTTCAGCAGATTTACTTGCAAAAGGAGTTCAGCATCAGACCTTGTTCAAAGCAATGACTTTATCTGACAGGCTAGCAAGACAATTAAGGAACCTAACTTTAGAACTTTTAGTTTTATTAAAAATAAAAAAAGATGTAGGTTCTACCGAGTGCATTAAAGCATGCGTGGTATTTTCCGCACCATTCTACATGTTGCATACTTTACTTGCAAACTGGGGGTCAAATTAAGAATCCTACAGGTGGTGGTGTACTGTGCAGAGGAGCAACACTCCACTGGGAGTTCTCGGAGGTCTTGGGCCTAAAGCTGCATTGCCTTGCACATTGTGTATCCATTTACACCTGTGCAAAAGTGAGTGCAAAGTTGCCAGTCTAGTTTAGTAACATTTTACACTCACTCTGCATAGAAGTAAATGACTCCACCAGCTGCAAGGCAGAGGAGACTTGGGCTCAGTGTGTATGTGCTGGGCAAAAGCAGATATGCTTCCAGGGGGGTTGAGAGTAAGGAGTGCTCAGAGGCAGTCCTTGCTATGCTATTTTGAAAGGTATGGCATACAGTCCACCCAGCGCTGCTCGCTGGACACTGTCTGGTATATGGAGATAGGCAGAGCCGTGTCCGCAACTTCACCTTGGCCAGACATGCCCCCATGTGGATTATTTACCACTCCCATCAGTATCACCTCCATTAACAGCCCTGCTCTTCAGAAACTTCAGTGAGTATCTCCTCTCCCCCACCACCTATTCACTGCATCATACTTTTAGCAAATGATGAATTAGCTTCATAATGCAAGTAGCTTTATACTACAGTCAGAAGCCTCAGGCTGACCAAAAAACAGAGCTACTTGCATATTATATTTCATAAAAATAACTATCTGGCAAAACAACAGAATGTTCTTCTGTCTTCAAATTCCACAGTAAGTCACAACATTCTGTGTCAATTCATGCAACACTGCCTTTTTTATATCATATGTTGGGCCAAATGGGTCTGTCAAAAGAACTCTTGTGGGCATTTTATCAATTTTTAAATAACTACCCTTTAACATTCAATAAAAGAAAAAAAAACACCAAACCCTTTACTACTACGCTATGAAGTACACTGCAGTATCACACTTTCAATAATTTTTCATTGCTTTTCCAATAAAGATACAAAACATCTGCTTTTCCCGTAGAGAAGGCTATAATGTGTCTAATTTAATCACACCATGTTTTGAAATAGGTAAGTGTTACAACATTTCTAAACATCACCACGATCATTTCTTATCAGCACTCAGTGCTACGCTAGAGTACAGTTCCCTACTGTAGCTTGGGCAGTTGCATTTAAAATGATAAACACTAGAGCTGGAAAGGTTGTTCTGGGTCATTTCATGCATGCTCCCCAGTTAGTGCATTATTGTTCTCTACATTAAACCCATAAGCATTTTATTTAGCCTGCTCCTGAATAGCTCTAGGGAAGTTGTTTCCACAATTTTCTTGGTAAACAATTCCATTGGCTAATTAGTTTCACTAGTACCACGATCTAAACACAGGCTACTACTGTTGGTTACATCATTCTTACCTATCTGAAATAACTGCTTCCCGTCTTCAAGTATTTATGCACAATTGTCACATCCCTTCTTTTAAGCAGCATAATTTATCAAGATAGCAACATTTGGAAACTCTAGGGCTGAATTCTTCTTGATATCCAACAAACTGGGCTACAATTTTTGGCTCTGATCCTGCAACTGACTACATATAGCTCATCCCCATGCCTGTGTCAAGCTGCACTGAGTTCAAAGTGACCTGTCCCCAGGCAAAGTCAGTGGCAGGATCGTGCCCTTAGATTTACTGTGTGGTGTTATGATCATTAGTTCTTATGCTCTTTGAGGCTCTTTAGAACAAGAGAACCCAGGCAGAAGATCTACAGCATTGTGATAATGAAAAGCTACCATTTGTGAAAAAACAACTTCATTCCATGTCTCTCTGAAGTCCTACTGGAACTCCTTTAGAGTCAATTCTCGCTGATGATCATTATAATAGGCTTTTATTTTGTAAAGCATCTGCCACGAAATCAATTCTGGTTGCTTTCAGACCTTATTAGAAATTATGATAAAAGATTCTTAGACTTTTAATTTACTTAATTTGTGGCACTGATCATTTTAATAGCATGATCTTCTTGCAATGTTGGAAATAGAACAGTGTTCACTTAACAGTGCAAAACAATTCAGAAAATTTTCTTGTAATTTTGCCCACATTTTCCAAAAAAAAAAAAAAAAAGAACCACATCAAGTTAGTTTAGGGATGCCTTTGGAATCGATCTTTGTAAGTGAAAGAGAAGTGAAATTGTTATGTATCTCTCATATCAGTTATACCAGGGGTTCTCAACCTTTTTCTTTCTGAGCCCCTCCCCCAACATGCTATAAAAACTCCATGGCCCATCTGTACCACAACAACTGTTTTTCTGCATACAAAAGCCAGGGCCAGCATTAGGGGGCAGCAAACAGGGCAACTGCCTGAGGTGCTACACCATAGGGGGCCCCGCAAAGCTAAGTTGCTCAGGCTTTGGCTTCAACCCCATACCATGGGGTTTTGAGTTTCTGCCCTGGGCTCCAGCAAGAGTAATGCTGGCCCTGCTTGGCAGACCCCTTGAAACCTGCTCGCGGCCTCCCTGCGGGCCCCGGACCCATAGCTGAGAACCACTGAGTTATATGATAGTCAGCATATGTTAGTGCTGAACCCTTAAACCATGGGTTCCTTTTCAATTTCAGACTTTCTGGGATGGAGTCAATCGACTGTAGGAGGAATCTTGCTTCATTTCGAATTCAGAATGGAATGGCTCAGTAACACAGTTTCAAATGCTTAAGGAAGCTGCATTGACATACAAAAGGGAACATGCTCCCAACACTCATAAAATAAGTCTTTTCCTATTTATGTGGCCATTTCTTGGCCCTAAAGGAAAAACTATGCCAGGCCTTACCAGTGTGGCTTCTTTTGTGAACCATGAGCACATTGGGACCGATGCAAATTATCCCACAGATATCACATTTTAGCTTTCCGTTAGGAAGTCGAATGCCTCCAACTCCTGACATAGCTTTGCTGCCTGGGCCATTGTGTGAGCCATTCATTTTCTCTCCAGAGGCATCAAGCATTCGTAAATCCTCCGCACATTCTTCCCCATTCATTTCACAGGCACGCCCATTCTCTTCATCACTCTGAGTCTCTATTTTAATATTACTGGCTGAAAAAAACAATACAGGATGCCACTCAGTTTTGTTACAAAATAAACACAGTGGCAAAGAAACAATCAAATCAAAGGAGAAAACTTCGAAACAGAATGTACAATATACCTACGCACAGAAACCAGTGATATGGAGACATTTTTATGTGCAACGTGGTGAGTTCTGTGACATATGGAATAATGGGTAATGGATACCAGTAACCAAACACAAGATGATTAAGTCTTTCTGATTTCTGCAGCTGTAATATCTGCATCATCAATCCAAATGAACTGGAAGGAGAGTAATTATGAATCCATATTGTTTGGACACCAAATGGTGAAAATAAGTACCCATCAAAGACAATGGGTGCCATTAAAAAATACAGTTGCCACTCTCCAGCGATAGCCTTACCAAGACACCTCTTCTTCTGCGAATAGGAAGAGATTGAGGATTGCACTTATCTTGAATCCACATACTGATTGATTATTTGTCAATATGGAAGGAGACAGCATGGCAGTGGGAAAGAAGAGGACTCAGGCACAGATGAAGAAACCAAGGAGTGAGAAGGAACAGGCTGAGGCCTCTGGGACTGAAACTGTAGTTGAAGTAAAAGGAGTAGGACTCATGCACTTGGGACAGCATGACTGAATGCTACTGGGTGACAGGAGAAGGTCTCTAGAACCAAGGACAAGTGGTGAGAAGGGGGCCAAGTCAGCAGGAGAATATGGGGGAATGCTTTAGACTGGATACAGGAACTGGTGGCTGAATGGAGTGGTCCCATACTTAAAACACAGTCGTATTCCCCATGCAGGCTGAGTGGATGAGAGAATGGGTTGGCATTATAAACCTTTAAAAGAACTGCATCAGAAAATCTGCTTCTTCCTGTTTATCTTAAGTCCCTTCTTTAATGCATGTGAAACTGTGTAATTATTCAGGTAATAAGGATAAAAAAGGTACTACTGTTTGAATTACATAATATAATTTTTCTCTTGTTTATATGAATAAACTACAGGTAACATTTTTGTGTATGATAACTGCCTTTGGCAGCTGCTGCATACGTGACTGTTATCTTATGTGAACACAGCAAAGACCTGAAACCTCCGAGAATTAACTAAGTACGGGGGAGGCCTGTAGTCAATTATGATAACTCCATTATTCACTCTTTACCCATGCACAGAGGTTGTATTATGTTGAATGTGGACTAATAACCTTTTCATCTTTTTCCTTGATACTACAGCTGGTCAAAATTTTTCAAATGAATTTTATTTGTTGTTGAAAAACAGCCCTTTCTTAAATTGAAAATGATTGTTACAATTGAGGTTTTTTTCCAAAAACTTTTATTTTTATCAGCAAAATTAAAGCAATGAAAAAATGTAAATGATTGACTGAGCACATACCTATTTTCACCCAATCCAGAACCAGGATTTTCTTCCATTGTAATAACAATGATTTCATATCGATAAGAGACATAAAAGATGATGCAACAATGACATACATTAAGCCAAGGTCAATAAGTGAATCTTGATGTTCTTCTAAATATGAAATCAGTTCACCAAACTCTGATCTCTGTTACACCCAACAATTGCACTGAAGTAAAACGATTCCAGTGGGATTGCACAGATGTAATTGATGGTAGAATTTGGCCCAATATATGTATTGCTACAGGATAAAAGTTGAGGACAAAGGAGTTTAGTTTTAGCACTGGTTGGTTGTGCATCTTTTATAGGTCTATAGGGTCAATCTAGATATTTTTAATGTGTTTTTAAGGTAAAGCATTTCTATTGTATATGCAACCTAAGTCTGGGACAAGTGCACACATTTCCTCTCCAGCTTTCCTCTTAATGAGGAGAAAAATTCAGAGGTCCAGAAAAAAATACCACTCACCTCTTAGCAATTTAAAAAACACAACATGTTTATATACTACATGACTGGCTCAGAAGTGATCAGTAGTTTTCTCTAAACTCAGTGGCAGTCAGGAAGCACTCATTTGCAAATGTGACCCAGTTGGTTAATAGAAATGTACTGTCTTGTCACATGACTGTTTTCAGCCAATCTTGCATCAGCCTTTTTCTCTTGCTTGTAGAAATAAATTATTGAACAAAGTTAGTCTTATTTATCAAAAATTACAAATTCTTCTGTATTAGCAGACCCAGCCAAATGTGACTTTTAAAACATTTGTATCTACTAAGACAAAAACTTAATGTGGGGATACAAAAAGGATTAGACTCTTTAAGTCCTTACACAGTATATGTAATTAAATGCAGACAAATGTAAATTAGTGAGCACTGAAGTGACGGAAAAAATAAAAGTGCTAGATGGACATGCCCTTCAGTGAATTGAGAGCACACTGTATACTTACGGGAAAAAGATTTGGGAATTATTGCGTGAAAATCTCTAAAGCCTTCAGCCCCATATGTAGCTGCAACAAAGAAGGCAAACAGAATGCTGGGTTGTGGTACTGCTAGCAGTAAAAGTCAAAGAAGATGATATTATTGCTACAAAAGACATTGCTTATCTAAAAGAGAGGCAGAACTATCACCACAGACATAGCACAGAAAAAACACAATATAAAGGAAGGACAGCAGAATGATAGCTAGAAGGAGAATCCTCATGTACATGCACAGTAATTTCCCTTTGAAAAATGCTGTTTTTCCAGAATTCCGTAAGTTCTCTGATGTTTTGTGAAACCTCAAGACTTCTCTGAATTTTTCCTTCCTTGATAGCACCAGTTTCTGCAGGTCTAGTGCAGGTAAAATTCCCACTGAAGCCAACAGGAACTTTGATTAGAATTTTCAAGGGAAAGTCATTGAAAGGCAAGAGGAGATGGACACGCAACTGCCTGAGCCTCTTTGCAAGTCTCTGCCTTTGTCTTCAAGAGAACTGCATTATAGAGGCATGATCCAACAGTTTTTTCCACTCCAGAGAACTGTCCCTTGTTTGTATTCAATCATCTCTATTTACTTTAGTGACAAAAATGAGTGTTTTTTTGCTTTTTTCACTTCTGTTAACCCTGCAGAGTTAACTAAGGGTTTGTCTACATGGTGCATTAGTCTGCACTAGAGGTGTGTAAGTTCTAGTGCACACCTGCGTGTCGTGCACTAACTGGCCTGTGGGGACCCTGCTAATGAGCATGAAAAGTTCCCTAGTGTGCATTAATATAGTACTGTTTGAAATGGAACTATATTAACGTGCACAAGGGAGCTTTTAGTATGCCCCAGCAGGGCCCACACAGGCCATTCAATGCTCAAAAGGCCAGTTAATGCACAGACATGCTGGTGCACATTAGAATTTACCCTGCTGTTGGGGCACACTATACACCACGTAGACAAGCTCACAGTGGAAAGAGAGGGTGCTGGATTCTATTCCTTCTTGCACATCATCATCATCATGATTTTTTTTTTATTGAGGCCTTGTCTACACGGGTTTTTCACCACCAGCGTAGCTCAACAGTGTAGTGTAGCTGCACTGATGCATATACCTAGTGCAGACATAAAGTACTGAATTGTGGCAACCTGAGGTGAGCTGCACGGGGACAGATAACAGTATAAACCAATGCAATGCTTCTACTATGGCTTTTGTAGTGGTGCACCTGCTTTGGTTTAGCTACACTGGTGGCTAAAAAATCCAACAAAGACAAGGCCTAATTCCAATCAGCTGCACCTATGCAGCCCCATTTATTATAATAGAGTTGCACAGGCCAGTGTTCCTGAGGGCCTAATTTGACTTGCAGAACTTTTATTACTGGTGAAGATGTGAGAGAAGGAAAGAACCCAGCTTGTCTCTAACATCTCAGAGGGAATTTACAGGTCTGGCTGTTAGGAAAATAGATCTCTGCACGAGTAAATGGAGCACATTTTTATAGAGTAACTTTTCAGAGTACTTTAATTACTGAAAATAGCCATGGAGGTATAGAGCATCAATGTACTCAACAGGAGCCTGGATGTGTTAGAGCAGGAATGGGGAATAAAACAAGTGGAAATGGGAGAGTGTTTAACATGGTGGGAGGAGGAAAGGGAAATCAGTTTAAATGTACACCTCTACCCCGATATAACACGACCCAATATAACATGAATTCGGATATAATGCGGTAAAGCAGCGCTCCGGGGGGGCGGGGCTGTGCACTCCGGTGAATCAAAGCAAGTTCGATATAACACGGTTTCACCTATAACGCAGTAAGATTTTTTGGCTCTCGAGGACAGCGTTATATTGGGGTAGAGGTGTATTAAAGCAGATTTTTTTAATTGTGATCAGTGGCATGGCATCAGTTTTTAAAGTTTTGTCTGAAGCTTTATACTTGGATTGGATTAAATATCAACATTTTCTGTTTCTGTTGGAAGATGAGACTTGTATGATCTCCTTCCCTTCTATGGAGGTATTTCTAGTGCTCAGATGATGTGACAAGTCTCTCAGGGAGCAGGATTTGTATTTCAGATTTATTGATGCAACAATAAATATTTGATACTTTGTGTTTTCTAGACAACAAAACATGAATTGCCCAGTATTGTACAGATAACCTAACCCATGCACACTATATGATCTATTATTATTATGAAAACCTAGCCCTTTTAACCCAGTCAAGCTATTATTCTTTTAATTAATATGCTTAAATTTGGTTAGAGATGACCTTTTAAGCTCCTATACAGGTTGGGCCTGATTCATCACTGTGATACTTCATTTTTACGCTGATGTAATGCCACTGAATGACACCAGCAAAACACTGGACTAATGTGGTGGTGAATTAAGCTCCAGATACATAGGAGGTTAAATCAGAATCCACTTTCACTGTGATGAATGCATATATTGCACCAATGTGACTGAACTACCAAGTCCCCCAAGAATGATGTGATAAATGCCAAAAGACAATTGCAGGAAAGGCAACTGAAAGGTAAAAGAGGCTCTTGCAAATTTTAAGAGACGATGATATTAAGAGAACCATCTATCTAATGTACGTCTCCCACAATCCCCAGCTTCCTCTCATGGTTCCTCCCGTGTCCAAAGTGCCTGTCAACTAACCACGTAC